ATAAATGTACCGTAAAAATGAAGGAGACTTCTAAGAAACTCATGTAAAGTTCTTGATACTCCCCAATACTTAGAGTTCCAATCTGTGTATATGGCTGGCTTTACATATTCCAAATTATAAGGTTTGGGTCAGAAACCCTCCCAGGTTTGTGAATCATGACCATAGTTCATGGTGGAATGGTAACTTCTGAAACATGTTAACTCATCTGTATCAAACTGAATTCCTAGAAAACAGGTGGATCACCAGATATCTGCAAAGCTCATGCCGGTATCAAAATGTTACAAAAGAAGAACAAGGCTTTTTAAAAATCTGTGGGTGCTATCTGCTACAGCTGATGTGTGCACGACAGACTTTTAGTTATGTTTTTAAACTGTACATTGGGATCACACCATAAACCAACAGGATCCCTTCTCACACTAGTTTAATAACCAAGTGTAAAACCTTTATTTTTTAGATAAGATTCTTTAAAATGATTATTAAAGACACAGACCTTCAATAATAACACAGAAAACGATAAATCCCATGGAGGCTTTTATCCTACTAATGAAACACAGATGAAGGTGTAACGTTACTTTAAATATTTTGCATTTCTGTGTTGCAACTTAGTCCTCATTAACATCACGCGCAAGTGAGTCTGGGTTCTTCGTCAGTGTTGCTGGGAAACAAAAGGAGGATGAAAATAACTTCCAGCAAAGCAACAAACAAAATAACAAGGCATGCAGATTTCCCGTGATTAGAGTATTCTGAGAATGTGCCGCATTCCAATGCTCCCAACACATTTTGCTGACGATGACCACTTGTGAAGCACGTTTACCAAAAGCTTTGTAACACTATCTGATTCACATTTTCCAGGAATAACTGCAGTGCCGCATGCAAGCTACAGATGATCCCTGGGTTTCATTTCAGTCTTTTATGAGTATCACCAGCAACACGTTTCTGTGAAACATCAAGACTGCTTTTTCTACTTTGGCACAGACTGAAACACCTAAAAATAGTGGACATGTAAGCTTGGATCTGCATTGATGTGTAGTTTCAAATGTTAAGACTCTGTATATTAAAGCTAGCATTTAAATCTAAATCCAGTAAGGATTAAATCATTTGACCTCACTTCACCTGATGTTTTCTAAGAAGAGCCAAAGCTGGCCAAAACATAGTCAAAATGTTTGACGTCTACAAGAATAGTGAGTTTTATTACAGATATTCTTCAGAAGCTGATATCCCTTATTCAGAATGACACACTCAAACAGGCAAACTGCTGGAAGGATTAGAGGGAAAGTTTGCAGATACCCTGGATCAAATGAGGATACGGTGTAATCAGTTTGGTGATCCTCTGACGTTCATATACCGGATTACAGTACCATTAACAAGTCAAAAATCTAATTTTTCCAATACTGTGAAGAGAAAAGAAGGTCTACAATCTAAGCTCAGCTAAATGAACCACATTTACGTCATCGGCTGTTTATTGGCAAGATACCAACATGAAGTTATGTGTTTTTACCCGAAAGTCAGCATGTTTACGGTCTGTTTATTAAAACAGTTTCAAGGTTGCATCCATTAAAATGAGCTGATGAAGTCCTTTCCAGTGGTAGCATGATAACCCTGAATATTCTGGGGGCTGCAGCGTGAACAGAACTGGAACTGCATGTAGTAACTACAGCCACCTCCCAAATGATAAGCCTTTAAGTTCCAGCATGCAAGGATTTCACTGCACTGTGTCCAAAGTGAGATAACACATATCTGAAAAGCCTCATTTTCTGAAATAATTATGCCAGTTAATAGTTTTTTTTCTTCAATGTGGATATCGTCCTCTGACAGCTCCGACAGAAAGCCGTAAACATGCTTTGAGACAGGTGAAATTTTGCAGAATTCCCATTTTGTTTGAGACAGTAGGGACAGTCAACTGTTGTTAGTAATAATCTCAAAAAAGTCTGTTAACTGTTTTTTGCTCTTTTGGCCATGTAAACACAAACAGGACTCCTTGTTGTGTTTCCATAAGTTGCCATCGAGTAGTGTGGCAACATTATTTCCTGCAGTCACATGAGGCTTTTTTAGTGCAACAATAACAATAATAATAATAATAATAGTGCAACAATAACACATTACTATTACTATTTAATTTAAAAGGCAGAATCAACTTGTCAAAAGATGGCAGTAATATATCAGCCCTACTGTCACAGGATGTTGTAAATTCAGCAAAAAAACTAAACAAATGTTAATCAGAAACTTTTCCATTATCTGGCTTATGGCTAATAAAAGAAAATAGATGTGAGCAGCACAGGCTGGATATCTTTAAAACCATAAGCAGGACCAGTGCAGCTGAAATCCAAGAGCTAATTTTTTTAGGCATAATTTTGTAACTACCAAGGATATAACATGGCCCCATTTTTGGAATATACAGGACTTAATGTTTCACAGAGACATGCTGCTGGTGATCCATTCTGTATCCCGCTTGTTAACGGGCTAGAGGCGGGGCACACGCTGGACATGTCACCAGTTTATAGCAGGGCCACACAGAGACAAGCAACCACACACACTAGCATTCTCTCCAAGGGGTCATTTGGAATGTCCACTCAACATAACGGGCTTGTTTTTGAACAGCTGGAGGAAGACGGATTACCCACAGAGAACCCATGCAGGTCTGGTAGCGTGATGTGTATATTATACTCAAAATACTCAAAATACTCATTAAGTCTTGCTTGAAACTGGGAAAGAAAGAGACAAAAAAACACTTGCTCAAGTGATGTGTTATGCTAGGTGTCATATGGATAAAACATCTATTACTTTTTGTGAATTGGTGCTACCTCTGCACGTTGCAGCCAGTGTGCCTTGTTACAGTTGTGCGGAGCCCCATCCAGCTGTTGACATTCTAACGGGCCTTTGAAGTGACTGCTTGTCTTCCCTAATATGGAATTTGAAGTACTCTGCTGTCCAGTGCAGGAAACCGTTCTTTGAAAAAAAAGAAATCCATCAGACTCGATAAAAGGTCCATTTCATGATGTTTTCCACAGACACTGACAAATAAAAGTACGGTTCTGTGTTTGAACAGTTTTATAACGCTATGTGGTTGTCTTAACCATAAAAAAACTGACAAACTCATCCTTTAGGGCCAGGTTGGGTTTGTTCATGGAAGGCAAAAGCACCTATGGCTGTTGTTTCATTCCCTCATAGGGGCGGGAAAAAGCCCAAAGAAGTAGGAGATGTAACAATAGTTCAGATATGGGCACAGCTGCTCTGTCGGAGTGTCACTGACACTCAGGCATGAGTCTGTCAGGATCATCCCAGGCTCATTTGATCTCCGCAGCCGAAGAATAAACCTCTATTTTTTAAATGAACACAACAAGAGCCAAAAAATGCCGATTCGGTTCAAAGCTGCAGTCAGTGGAGAAGTAAATATCCTTTCAGTCACACTGAGTGATCACATAGGAAAGTCCAGAGGAGGAAAATAAGACCTGAAAGCTGAGGATTTTGTATTTCTCCCAGCTTTATTTTTTTTATTTCCTGATATGAAGTAGCTTTGAGTCGGGGCGCCGTCAAAAATAACTTCGAAACATCACAGAGACGAACTGCCTGTGAAACCAAATTTAACAGCATGTCCAAATTTAACAGCATGAAACAGCGTTTGGGGTGGCGGTCTGATGGAGGCGGCCGGGACGAGGTGCCAGTCTAAACCTAATAAAAAAACAAAGGCCTTTTTTTCCTTTAGCCGGCTCGGTGTAAAGGTATGGAAAAGGTCACGCGTCTTTAGGGACATTTGTGGAAATCCTATGGAGCTGAAATGATAAAAGATCAATGAATGAACGAAAACATGAAGTGATGAGGTGGGGGGGGGGGGGGTATTCCGGGGTATTCCAGCTATGCGTGTCGGAGCAGCAACAGGACGGAGGTCATCGCTCATCCACCCTCCCTCTCTCCCTCTTTCAATTCTCTGTCTTTCTCTCCCTCTCTCTTTTTCACCTTACATTTTCTGTCACTGCTTTTTCCCCCTCTTGCCCGGTTAGAAAAACAAGGCAGGAGAGCCGGAGGATGATGGAAAGGGGGAAGAAAAAAAAAAAAAAAAAAAAGCATCCCATGTCAAATGTCGGCAAAAACAAACGCGGGGCTGAAAAAATAGATAGCGGGCTTCTCCTTCCTGTGGGCAGACCCACTCAGACCGGGCGGCTGATAGGTGGGTGGTCAGAGGCGTGAGATAGTGCCATTATCTGCTTAGGTTTAGCCACGTGACCCCCCCTACTCAACTGTGAAGGAGAACAGGAGGCAGAAAAGAAGGGGGTTGTTGGTGGGGGGCAAACAAAATGGATGGTAAAACTAACACAAAAAAAAAAAAAAGCAATGGGGGGAGGTAAACAGAAACGGACGGGAAAGAGGAACAGGGAGATAAAAAAAAGTTATGGAAGTCCCAGTGTTGGGGCCAGGCTTTAAAGTGGAAACATTAACGCGGGCCGGGGCGAGAGCTGAGCTGGAGTTTATCACGGTCTCTGGAGGCTGATGAACGAGGGAGGGAGGCGCAAAGGAGGGTGCCCCACACATCCAGCAGCAGACGCACACCGGGGGGGGGCAGAGATATAAAAAGGACTCCCGAGGAGAAAGAGCAGAGAGACCAGCGTCCGGGTGACCGTCCCGCTCTCCTCCACCCTGCTGTTTTATGCCAGAGTGTGTGTGCGCGCGTGTGTGTTTGGGTGTGTGTGCGCTGGAGAGAGCAAATGTTTTCAGAGAGACGTGGAATGTGTCCTCCTCAAGGAATAAACTTTTCTTCAATTCTTTTTTTCATCAGAGGATCGATCGGCCCGATGCAGGGAGTTTGGAGTTTGATAAACAGCCGATTCCTAGAAAGCCCGCTCTGATTTCTAGGCTTTTGCAGCTGAGTTCTTTACGCATCTGAGCTGAGAACTTTTACCTCCAAGACAAGGAGGCGAGAGGTGACTCTGAACAGAGTTCTATCTGACTGCTACTGAAGGTTTTTTTTTGTGTTTTGTCCTTTTTTCAACTCGAACTGAGGTAGAATGGATACTCTATTTCTCTTAAATATGGACAGCAATCACACCTTTGTGGAAGAGCATTTCTACCTGGAGGACAGCATTGACGGCTTTAGCATCACGGTGGCCGTCCTCTATCTGGTGGTCTGCATCGTGGGGCTGGCCGGGAACTCCCTCGTGATCGTCGCCATCTTGAAACTGGACAAGATGTCCTCCTCCACCACGGTTTACATCTTCAACCTGGCTCTGGCCGACGGGCTCTTCATGGTGGGCCTCCCGTTCATAGCCAGCCAGAACTTCCAGAACCGCTGGGTGTTCGGAGACGCCGCCTGCAAGGCGGTCATGGTCCTCGACGGCATCAACCAGTTCACCAGCGTCTTCTGCCTGACCGCCATGAGCGTCGACCGCTACGCGGCGCTGGCCCACCCGCTCCGGCACGCCGGCTGGCGGACGCCGCGCCGCGCCAAGGCCGTCTCGGCCGCCCTGTGGCTCTTCTCGCTGGTCACCATCCTGCCCATGGCGCTCCACTTCTCGGCCGAGCGGGGCCTGTGCATACCGGACTTCGTGTCGGACGCCTGGTGGCTGGGGGTCCTCTCCTACACCTTCGCGGTGGGCTTCGCCCTGCCTTTCACCGTCATCATGGCTTCCTACACCGCCATGCTGCGCGCCCTGAGGTCCCGGCCGGCCCCGGCGCCTCCGCCGGCCAACGGCGACGGCCAGCGGCTGGAGCGGCAGGTGACCAGGATGGTGGTGGCGGTGGTGGCGGTGTTCGGCGTGTGCTGGCTGCCCTTCTACGCCTTCAACTTCTGCTCCCTGTACCAGAGCGGCCTGGAGCTGCCCTTCGCCCGCGCCTTCGAGGTGGCGGTCCTGCTCTCGTACTCGTGGAGCTGCGCCAACCCCATCCTGTACGCCTGCCTCTCCGACACCTTCCGGAGGCACTTCCGCACCCTGCTCTGCCCCGTGGCCAAGCCCAGCTCGCAGTGCAACACCGAACGGTACGACCTAAACGATACCAGTGTGGGAGACGTCACCATCCTAGCGTGAAAAAGACACCAAAAAAAACGATTGTATCCCTGAAATTTCCGGTCTTTACGCACTGCATGATACTTTTGAATTATATTTACTCATTAGGTGGTTCTGGATGTGATTAATCAAGATTTCTTTCCAATTAACTTGGAAAGTATTGAAATATGATTTTCTTCCAAGAATAAAGTTGTACATATTTTTGCTTCAGTTTTTATGGACCGCAGTTGATTAGTTTAACCATTTTATCGTCCCAGAACTGATTTTTTATCTTTTTAAGCCATGGATCCTTTTACAAGTGCCTTTTTAAAAGTGAGCGAGACAGTCTTTTAAGCTCTCTGTCGACTGACTGTGTTATCTCTGCCTATCCGATGATCCCTGTCTTTTTCCGGAAAATGAGTTCAGGAGGAGGAGCGTTTTCACAAAAAACAGAGCGAATCAACAACATTTTGATCTCTTTCAGAGCTTTTTTTTTTGGGGGGGGGCAGGAAAAAAAACAGAAACTGCGGAACGATAAGAGTTAATTTTGGAGAAGTGCGACTGTAAACAGAGGAACGGGGGTCATGCACCTTTAACACAGACATGCGCATGCATAAACGCCTCTAACAAATAACATTGCTCAACATCCCCCAGCTGAATTATGTCCCAGTGGTACTGAGCGTGGGAGGGCATCGGATCAGCGTGTTTACGCACGTGTGGCAATGAGAGCGCACTTTGACGCCAACAGTTTGGGCTCCGTGTGGCATCCTGTGTGCTGCACGTAGTAGAAAAAAAATCCAAAGTTCCACTTCACTTACAGTCTGATACTGCTTTGTAAACAACATGTCTGAGATTATTGTATTTCCGTGCTGCAAATGAGCTGTTTGGATTCACTGTCGTCAAATGTAAAGTCTATTTTACCGTAATGTTACTTTTAAGCTAAACATTTATAAGATAGCAGCTCTTGGAGTCTTTCGAGATGAGAAATCTAACATGTAATCACTTTATGGAATGTATGGACTGTATGCCTGTATTTATAAAGCACTATGTGTCCATCTCTATATACAGTAGTATAGAATTTCCAGTCCGCTCTAACACTCTGTGATGAAGAATTTATGTTACACCATCAACATGCCTTGTTCCGTTTCATTCCACTTTCAAAAAAGCACTTTTGTATTTTATATTTGATCATTTTAATGAATTAAAGGTGGGCGGCGGCCTGAATGGAGTCTGGTTTGCTTCTAAAATCTATGCGCAACATTTGAAAGCCTCTTCCAGATGACCCAATAAATCATAAAAAGGATTGATCCAGTGATGTTTGGCCAATAAATCTTTCAAAAGTACACTTAAAAATACGAATGTTTCTTTCCACGTGGATGCGCAGTTACGACACATCCCACGTGAATTCCTCTGATGGATCTGCACCATGTAAGTGATGTAAATATTTATGAATGAGAAAAAGACTGTGACTTCCTCCCATTTTCACACAGCGTGTAAAAACATCCAGCAGAGATACGTGTGACCAATTGCGAAGCTGTTTGCCTTGAGTAATCCAGTAATCCACAGTTCCGTGGGGCGATCCTCGCCCTGGATCTTGAGGAGTGTTGTGTGTGGGAAGAAGAGTTTTTAAGGTCAATTCTGGATCAGACAGGGTGTCGGGAAAGAAACACTAAATCTGGAGTTATATCATCCGCCTGCTGCGAACGTCATCAAAAGCCTAGCTGCCACATTGTGGAACAGCAGGAGGTTTATTTTTGTTTTTTGGCACAGCCTAAGAAAAGGGAGTCTTTTCTACACCATTCTTGACACAGGGTATCCCAGATTTTAGCAACATTATATAAACCTTTTTGAGATCTTGCTTAAAAATGTATTCAAGGTTTTAAAAAATGCCTCCTAGCCTTGAGACTCAAAGCCATTCATTTCTTAAATTTCTAAAAATTCATGGACTTCACCTTGGGAGATGAAGCAAACCGTGTCTTGTCATGGCTGTCTGCTCAGATATTCTCCCCTACAGGGCATTCCTGTGAACTGGAAAGGCTCAGTAAATGTCAAGCCTCCCTGAGATCCACTTGTGTCTGCCTGTTTGGTTTATAAAGCTTATAAACTCCCTGCCAAAATCTTTAAAAAAAAAAAAAAGGCCACTGCGCCATGGGGGGGGGGGAAAAAAAAAAAAAAAAAAATGAGGGCATGGTGTTTCTGAGATGGCTGGACGAAGCCACACCGGTTGATCCTGCTGCAGGGCTGGACATCAGCAGTGCTACCGGTCTGTAAATAAAGAGCATTTCTGTAAAAAGGGACGGGGGTGACAGGGAGGTTTTCCTCTTTTGATAAATAAAGGGTCGAACGGATCAGAATGATCCGGTTTGTAGGGATCTGTCGATTCCAAACCCCGGGAGGAGACCGGATGTCACTGCCCGTTGCATCATGTTGTCACTTAGTAAACTTTTTGGTTTGAGCTCACCGAGGTGGTGGAGTTCAAAAAGGGGAGGAGTGGGAGCATGTGTGTCCTGTTACTGTGTCATAATACTGTAGGCTGAACAGGTTGCCAGTGCACCATGAGTTCAAATTTATCTTTTAACTATCACATTCCATCCCCTTTTGTCAAATATAGTCTGAGCTTTTTAATGATGGTCATTGCTCAAATCCAATTGACACAACCTTTTGAAAACATGCAAAAAGCTGTACAAAATGGTCCAAGTGGTTTCCCATACATGCATCCGACTCCACATCAAGGAATCAAAAGTTTAAATACATCATCCTTCTTTTTTCCAACAGTCTTAGAATACTAAAAGTCAGACTGCTTAGAGTATTTTTTAGGGCCTACCTTACTTCCCTTTAGAGTTTTGGACACCTGAACCTCCTGAGATATAACCCTTTGTTGACATATATCCACAAAATGAGCGATTGCTCACATTTTCACACTAATTTGTGTGTGGAGGTGGAAGAAGACTATGAAGACAATGAGGAGCCAAAAAATGTTACCGTGACAAGAAAAAAATAACAAAGCAAAACACCTTTAAAAATTAGACAGTCAATTTAACAATTACCTAAAGTACATAAACTGACATTTTAGTTTTATAGAATAATACACGATTGGTTGTTTTTTATGGAAAACTACATTTTCAGGTTCAATTTAATTTAATTCATTTGAAGGTATGACATTTGATTTTAATGGGCATCTAAATATATGTGATCTCATTTGGTCTGGTGGGTAGGATGTTCAGAAAGTTAACTGTAGCTGAATCATAAAAAGGATGATAGGGACATAAAGGAGAGCAGACTGCTGTGAACTGATAGACTAATCAGAGTGAAGGAGCTTTGAGTAGGATCAGCCGACAGCTCTACTCACCACACAGACGTTCACCCTCTCCTCCAGTAACTCAAGAGACGGCTGAATGGAAACGGCAGGAACAGCCATTTATGGTCAGAGGGTTAACCATGGACTGGATAAAAATGGAAGAGTGCTCAATGATATCTTGGACTGAAATATGTATAAGTTTTTCTGATCTAAGGAGTGCAGGCTATCCATATAACAGAACAGCAAGGTTCATTTTTAGAAGCAAAGTACATTTTAGACCACAAACAGGGCTTACAACTTGGCAAAATACTAACGTTTTTTGCCCTGTGCACAGAACTGGAACAGAACAGACCAGTTTCCCTGAAATCTTACATCACTAAAGTCTCAGGGAGACTGTTATTGGTTGGTTGGGGTTAGTCTCCCAGTCGATTTACTCCAAGAGTATTAGGATATTACGATAGGGATTTGTGTTACCATCAACTGGTGCCAAGTGAGGCTCTGCCACAGGGGGTTAAAAACAGCAACTGTGATGGAGTTATGGCTGACTGTGCTGTCCCTGGTGCTGAAAACATAATCTGTGCCAGACAGGCAACGTCTCCAACTGTTGCTTCAACCTTCTGTTTTGGTAATTGTCGAGCCACGAGAGAAATCCCAAATCGGACCGCGGCAATCGATTTCTTTGACAGTTTTGATCTTCTCGGGTATCGTACATGACTACCTTCCCATTGGAAAAAGCTTGTCACTGGTCCAGTAGTGTGGCTTTCAAGATGGCGGCCATGTTCCAGACTCAGCCTAAGACATAGGCCCATTTCTTGCTGAAATCCTGTTCGTTTCTGAAAAGAAAACTTTTGACTCGCCCTGTAGGAAGACGAAAAATGTCCATTTTTGCTTTAACGATCAAATCAATGTGGGGGGGAAATCTGAGAGGGCTTCGTCAGCCAATCGTGGCAGCTTGTCATGAATAATGCAGATTCTGATGCAGGGAGCTTTTGAAACAGAGAGGAACCTCGACTCTGAGAGGAGATGGATTTAAACCCCGTTTAGAAAGTTTTTTTAAGAGCAAACTGTCTCATTTGATAGATCTTTAAAATAAAGGGAAACCGCATAGGCTGTCTCTGCGTGATGCGGAAACTCTTAATCCTACAAATGAACGCGCCGGGTTACGGCTTCCAATTCAACATGCAGACACGAGGGTGAAATCCTTCATCTCATACCGATGCCAGACATTGAAATAGATCAAATTAAAAGGGTTTACCAGCTGCTTCGAGCCAAAGCGACGAATAGAAGCTCACAAAAAAACAGCACGCCTAGGAAAAAATGCTCAGAAGCAGGACTCTCCAATCAAAATAAAACGTGTTGTGACTCCTTTTGTCTGACTATCCTTTAATCAAATGTGCTAAGTGCGAGATTTACAATGCGCAATCAAAGGTCACAGTAGCTGATACGTCTGAAGCGTGTGTGTGTGTGTATACCACACATGTTTGTTGGTCTAATTAAAGCCCTTGTGGGCAGCAGTTACTTTCATTGGCCTTTTTTTTCCTCTGACTGATCCAGCCTTCAACCTCTATGTGTAATTAAGACCAGATGTAAACTGTCAGAGAGGTTTCTCAATAAAGAATATTGATGGGACCCGGGAGAAAGTGTGTGTGTGAGTGTGTGTTTCTGCGAGTATTAGTCTGCTGCATGATTAGAAGACCCCGATCGATAAAAGGTCGGTCAGACAATTTAAATACCCGACCCGCTG